GCTTTCCAATGATGTACCTGTCATACATTATAGGAGTTATTTTTTCTTCTCATAGCATGTAGAGGACTTTTCAAAGCCTTGTTAAAGAAGATCTACTGTCAGTCAAATCCCAGGTCGCAGACCTGCCTGAAAGGGGAAAGATCAAATACAGTAAGAATACGTGTACCACATTTACTCTATACTGACTTCTGACCAGCCATGAATTTCAGCATTTCTTTTCAGCATTAGTTTAATTTGAAAACATTCATTTTTATATCCTTCTTATATTATAGAGCCCAAAGCTGCACATAGTACTTGAAGTGAGACTGCATCTATGCTGGGTATAGTGGGCCAACCACTTCCTTTAACAGCTTAGTTACACTGTGCTTAATACATCCAATGAGACAATTGTCCATTTTGGACACCATGGCAAATTGTTGGTTCATACAGAGCTTACCATTACCCAAAACTCCCAAGATCCCCTTCTGCAGGGCTGCACTCAAGCCTCTTGTACCGCAGTCTACAAGTAATCCAGGATTACACCATCCCAGGTGCAGGATCTGGAATTTGTTCTTAAATTACCTATGGTTGGTGATTGCCCAGTGCACTAATCTGTCAAGATATCTCTGTAAATCCTCTCTACCCTCAAGGGAATCAATGCTTTCTCCTAATTTAGTATCATCAGCTACCTCATTTAGTACCACTGGCAAATGACTTGGTAACATCCATGAGAGGGAAGACACTTTTACCTTCAGTAAGAACGTGGTTGAGATTGCTTTTCAAAAACATGACAAGAATGTGAATTTTGAAATCACTGTAGATTGTTAATGAGGAAAATTAAAACTGAAATTGAATAGAAGAATTTTATGCAAATGCACATACACACAGGAAAACAGCATCAGCAAACATTAAGGAAATTGAAACTGCTCCCTGTCTGCCTTAATGATATGCTGTCTGGAAGAGAGTCATTATAAGACACTCTGTATTCACAGTCCCTTCCATCCGAAGGGACATAATATACAAATGTTATCAAACTCAGCTGTCTGCATGGTAAATTAGGAAAGGGAAGAAATAGTTGAAAAATCTTGTTCTTCGCGTGGTATAACAAGGGGAAAAAAAGGCAATTGAAGTCAGCTCTCTGTTTCTCAAACTCCAGAAAGGAAAAGTGGGAAGAAATCCCACCACTGAAGAACCTTCCACATTTGAGGTAGGCAGACAACAAACCCTCAGATGTAAACCTCTACGTTTTTAAAACTTCATGAGGAGGCAACATCTACTTGTCCAAGCCTCCAAAGGTCAGAGGGGTCTCAATAAATGTTAGGTCCATCCTGAGGGCTAGATCTGCCCTAGTTGTTTGGTTTCGGTTCATTTTTTTTTCCCCTTAGACTTTTATCACGCCTATTTCAAGTCCAAAGTCGGTTTAGTTTTAGGATGCTTTATTATGAACTATTTGCCTCTAGGGAAGAATGCCCTTGAGCATTTCAGTCTTAGACATCTATACAAGACTGAGTTATATGTCTTACCTTTAAGACTAAATATCCACTGCTGTATTGCACAATGATTTGAGGATAGTCAAGGTCTTCTGTGGAACCCGTCTTTCTGGACTGAGACACAGATTCCCTAGCCCTCTTAATTTAAATAAGCTTCTTTCCACAAAGCACAAAGCATGCCAGCTGATCCACTTAATCTTATTGCTTGTGAAAAACACACTGGTTACAAAATGTGTTAGATGAGTTATATGGCTTTGATGTGTTTTTCTATCAGATTTTTTTCTTCCATCATTAAGTATAAGTCTAAAGAAGTTGTGTGGATTAAAGCTTGTATTGTCAGTTCTTCAGTCAGTTAAGATGCTGGTACTTCAGAAGCACTCAAAAGCTTGTAACAAAGAAAACAGGAATCAGCACAGAAGAGCATCAAGAACCTGAACTCAGTGCGATGCACCAGAGTTCATAAACCAAAGCGGAGTCTTACCTGGGACTTGTTCAAAAGCAGCTCTACTCTACTGATTTGGCTTTTGATGCGGGAAGGCTTTGCAAAAATGAAACAGAAGGTAGCAAGGGATAGAGCTTAATATAAAGAACATCTCTATTGATCAGGTATGCAGCTTGGTCAGAGAGGTGTGCTGAGCAGCAGCTTGCAAAACATGATCAATACATTTTCTCACCTTTTTTCTATTTCACTGGGATGGTTCTTCCCCTACCCACCTTGATTCTTCAATTTTCCTGCCTTTGGCCCTTTCTCTAAGTATTCCAAGTTTACCACAAGCCCCACAGTAATTCCCACAACCCCACTTTAACTTCACATGATGTTTTCTCTCTCTCTTAAGCCCTTTGATAATTTCATTTCTGCCCTTCTTCTCAGTTAAAAATATCTGGCTGAACCTCTTCAGGGCTTTTTGGGTTTCCTCCAGTGGTCCTCTACAGAGGAGCCAGCGAGTTCTGATATTTGGCACTGTGCTTCTCAATGCCTGTTTGCTGGCTTTTGTACGTAGGTGTGGTTTCTTACTGCTCCTGTTTCTTAACTTTGTCTGTTAGGTTGATTACCTTAACCATTTGTCTTAAAAAAGATGTCCCTACATTATGGACATCTACATATCCTTAACATTCAAAATGTTCTACTATATACAACTCAGAAACAGTACCTCTTTTCTGGTTTCTAATATCACAGGGTCTCCCGTGTTACCAGAATACTAGGTCTGAACATGCAAAAGTTAGAGCAAACGTCAAATTGTAGAAAAATGTGTGACTCCTCATCCTGGACAACATAGCCCAGAATCCATTCAGCTTGCATTTTACAATACACCATTACTCTGAAGGAAAGGCCTGGACAACAAGTTTCAAGAACACAGCTACATTCATAAGGATGTCTTCCCCAACTATCCCCGCCTCAAGGATAGTGCACAATCTCAGTTTCTCTTTAGTGTCTTCCATCTGCATGTGCACTAAACAAAAGCTTGAAAACTTAATTCACTTGCCCAAATTTAGACCACCATTTAGTGAACACACTACAGCTTTTTCAGTTCCTCAGGTCCATTCCAAAGACAGTTCTATGGAAAAGAAATCTCAAAACATTTTCACTTTGACTTTTACCAAATAAAGTAGGAAACATGGACATCACTAGCACTTTCTTTTACCATACAATTCCTGGGACTTCTAGCCTTTATGTGACAATGGTGATCCACAAAACTGCAGGGAGGACTTGGTCTGAGGATGAAATATCCTTGATTAGGCACTTGCCTGGCAAGTGGAGATTGCTGGCAAGGGTAACTGTGGTGCTACTACACCATTATCCCTCCACATTGTCCTACAAACAGCCTAGTTCCAAGGACAGCACTGCTGAGCATCCTATCCAGAGCAGGTCAAGTTCACTTTGCAGCTGCCACAGGACGTATGTCATTAGCTTATCTAAAGATAAAAATAGAGTTCCAGGCAGGCAGACTTAGTCCTGAAAAGTTTTAACCTACAGCTATGGCAAGGCATTTGCTTGAGCTAATCTACAAATTCATTGTGAGGCAGCAAGAGATGTATAGAGAGGATAAGGCATGTGAGGGGATACCAGGTCAAACGGATTTCCTTCGCTGTGATTAAAGATAGAATGTTGCATGCAACTTCAAATTAGCCTCAAGAACATAGTACCATATTAAGTATAAAAATATAGAGGCACATTTCCTTTTAACAATAATCAAAAATACTCACACGTGTACAAATACAAGGACCAGTGGTTTCCATTCTGCACACCCAGTTCTGAACAAATGCAAGCACTGAATAGTTTGGGTTCATTGCTGTTTTACATTCTCCTTAGAGGCATCTCTGCAATGTTTCTATCCACCTGTTGAAGTTATCTGAAGTGGATCATGTCTGATTTCAATTTGTACCCTTGGGCCCTCTGGTATTCTGGGCCCTCTGGTACTATTTACTTTGCCTGCATGCAGCAAAGCACTTGTTTCAGGTCCTTCTCACAGTGTTTGTTATTTAGAAGGAAAAGAACCCAAAAAACCAACATTCCAATCATGCATGCTGTCCCACGTGTCTCTGTAACTGTGATAAGATTGAAACCTTATTTCTGCATACGTATGTGTACTGAGGCTACTTTCTCCCAGTGCTCTACCTACAATGATAGTAGTGGGAGGCTCCTTTAGATGCCTACTGAGAAAACTGTCTCAAGCTCCTCTACTATCCAGCTTAATGGGCAAACGCAATCAGTGCTCAAGAAGCAACTGCAGAGAATGACTTTCTGGTGCCTTCTCTAAATGTTTCTCACTTCGGTAATCTCTTATTCTGCTTCCAAGAACTGCATGGATAATGGTGGCCTGTGCTTGATCAAATGATTTAAAGGAATAGCAGGAGGCATGCAGTAAGGACTTCCCAAGTGCGTAACAGAATGACTTTATTGCACCATCCTGCTGGCAACCCGGTAAAGAGAATCCCAGGGCTTCAAACAATCACTAAGGTACAAAATTATTTTTCATAAATGAAATAAAAATCTAGAGGAAATTGAAAATTAATATCATTATTTCATGCCAAGCTCCTCAACACTTAGACAGGATTTCTCATAGGACTCTGAAAAGACTAACCACAAGAAGACATAATTTGGTTTGGTTTTATTATATAAATTCCTTAGGAATAAAAATTCGGGTAAGAGAGTTCTGTACAGGAATCAGTTTTATTTTGCAGGAATTCAAGTACAAATTCAGCTCTACTTTTGTCAGATACAGGGTTAAAATCAGAGAGAATGATAAAATCTGAAGCAGACACACTGCACATTTCTTTTGTGGGTTTTCTCTTGTGGAACAGATGTTGATTTCTTTCTCTCCCTTCCAGATCCAAAGGTAAGCCTGGTCAGGCTGCCAGACTTGCAGTACATGCACATTCAAGTTTTGTCATTAGTGATTCTTCTGTCAATATATCAGCTTACAAAAAAGTTGGCTGCCTTAACTAAAAGCTGCGTTGATGATTCTCCTCTAAGAGAACAGCACATTTCCCCGCTTATTCTGTCTTGTTAAGTACATAAAAGGTGTACTATTATTTCCTTCCTAGAACAGCATCATAGAGTTTTCCAGTCCTCTTGACTTGGATCACTCCAAAGCCAGCTGCCTCAAGGAGCTTGCTGTACTCTGCTGCTGTTCTCTCTTTTCCTTCTGTCTGGACCAACATATTCATCGAATACAGTTGGGTTTCTAAAGGCCCACTTTTATCTTCATTCAGAAGCGATTCAACCAGCAGCACTCCACCACCTGATTGAATGAAGAGCAATGAAGAACATGCTGAGCTCTGAGAAGCTGAGCTATTTTTGAGCTGTTACTAGGACAGATCCTAACCTTTAGTTTCAGGAAGAAGCAGCCTCTACCTTGAGTCATATTTCAGCATCACAGAAGACAATGAAAGAACAAAAGCATTGGACCATGTCTCTGCTTGGCTATGTAGGTACTGACATAACAAGGCTGAAGGGGATGCTATGGCTGGGGCAGAAGCTTCCTCCAGCCGAAATCCACAGGAGTTTACTGATTTTGCTGAGAACTTGGCTCTGTAGGCAGTGCTTTTGAAGCTCTGAGGGTTCAATGTAATGCTTAATGGGACTTTTACTAACTCCGCAGGAGTTAGCAGCTTTCTTTTCCCAGGCTGCCCAAGGTCTTTTAGTGGATTCCTGCATTATCTCAGAGGCCTCTGGCTGAGCCGCTGTTTCAGGGCCTCTAACTGGAACACCTGTTTGGTTCCCTACAATGCATACACCTATCTAAACAATACCCAAAATCCTCAATTCTTACACCTAAATAGAGGACTCCTCCTTTGAAAGAGGAGTCCCTGTAGAGGAGACAAAAACTGGAAGCCTGACAAAGAGATCTTAGACCTGGCCCTATTTGGCTCAGTTTCACATGGATGGCTTAGGAAAGCAAAAGACCAAACCACGAAGCCCCTGCGCTGAAACTCTGCCACCCCAATTGAGAATTAAGACTGGTGTGCTTTCCATTACTGATAGGCGATAGTCTCTCTGCTCTTTACAAGCTCACACCTACCAGGTTTGCAAGCTTTGTAGACTTTTGCCAGCAGTTGTTTGCATTTGTCATCATCCCAATCATGCAGTATCTTGGATAAAATATACAGTTCAGCTTCAGGAATTGAATCATTAAAGAAGTCTCCTGTAAAGCAAGAACCCATAAGCAAATATTTTCATTTCTGTCCAGTTCTGGGCTTGCCATGTCTATCATACATATCAAACAACAATGGAATTACCAGCTGGAGTGCAATGTTGCACTGCATAGGGAATTTTACTCTTGTTCAGCCTCAAGATATGAAACATTTAAAAGCAGCAGCTCACCCCGAAACAGCCTATGAGGCAAAGGAAAGCATTTGAGTTTAGGTTTTCTCCAGTGATATAAATTCAGATTCATAAAGCACTAAGGAACATGATTTTTTCATGATTTCTGTCATGAAAAAAGGAAAGAATATTCCCTTATCTAAGAAAATTTTCAAAGACCTTCAGTAATCAGAGAGTTATCTCATAAATACATAAGTAAGAATACACACCTCTCACCTCCTAGCACTAGCTTCATCATCATGCCTTTTATTTAGCACCTGGTGTACTGCATTCAGATTTTTCTCTCAGCATTTTACTTTGTCATTTCTTCTTCCTTTTTGTTGCATCTTTGTTTTTATACACTCCTTTCTTTCCTCAAGGCTTCTTTTCTCTCTCTGAGCATCAAGCAACATTAAAGCATTCCAACACTTCGAAGGCTTTTGTAAACATTAAAAATAATATCTCCCTACACACATTTTCATCATAGGTGAGAATGAAAATGAGACAATGAAGGACCAATGGACTGGGCAAGAGGAATATGAGCTAGCTCATTCACTTTTATGGTCTGAAATGTCTTAGGACTTGAAAGTCAATTATGATTAGACAAGGAAAACCCCTTGCTCAGAGCAGGCCTGGCATCCCTCACATCTGCCAAAAGGTTTTCACAGGAGGAAAGGGAAGTGTAAGGAAAACTTATAACAAGGCATGGCAGATTTCAAAACTGCAAGATGCTTTTGTTTGTTAATGTACCCTTGTACTGAAAAAAAAATCAAATAGTTATGTTCAGGAATAAAGAGCTTCTGTGTTGCTGAACAACTGAATTGTGCCTCTGATAGCCACAGATGCTTATCTGGGATAAGCATCAGACCAGCTGCAGACCTGGGTTGGGGAGGCTGCAGCCTGGGACACTCAGCCCCCGTAAGGGGCAGCTGGAGACATGAGCCTCCTGTGTGTTACCTCTGAGCAGAGCTGAGGGGCTTGAGAGCAACAGCTGTGGCAACACTACACCACTGTCCACACCCACCTTCATGGAATGCGATCTGACGCTCCTCAGGGAAAATAAATTGCTCTTTGACCACTTGCACAACTTTTGGTAGATCATAAATTGTGACTGTGGAATTGGGATACAAAGAAACACACTCCCGGGCCAAAGCTCCTCCGCCTCCTTTGGGGAGAGCAAAAGAAAGTTAGCACTTAGCACTGACACAAAACCAACCTGTGCAGCAACACCCCCATGAAACCATGCAGGCAATGGTGGATTCAGCCTCATGGAATCTGACAATGTACATTGCTCCCCATGTGTTGCTGAAAGGGAAGATGGAGGGATGGTAGAGGCCACTGGTGCCTTTTGTTCTGGGTCAGCCCCGCCCCTTACAGCTCTCACACACCCTCCCCGCCAGACCCAGCTCCGGGTGCTGGAAAGTGAAAAATGATAAACAGCCACTAAAACGGGTGCTGGGGAAGTGATGGAGGTGGATCCTGACCCATCCCATGAATCCTGGCTGCACTGAGCAGTGCTTGGACAGCAGGGTGCTGCAGGATAACAGGCTGTAGGCAGTATATCAATGACAGTGACTGAAGAGGAGGAGGGAAAGAGCCTGGCACTGGAAGAATGTATCAAGAAAGGCATGAAAAATTGTCAAAGCTGCCACATACACAAGGGAATGGCTGACTGCTCACATAACTGAGACTCTGTAGAGAAAAGCATTCAGCTTCCTTGCTCTCATCACTCTCACATTTCTGTCTTTAACCCAACCAAATCAGTAAAATGTTCCTTTTATTGCTGAAATACATCCTGCTTTCCGTTGTTTTGCCCATCATATAACATAGAAGCTATCTTTCTTTTCAAAGCTTGTAAAAGACAGTTTAGAGGCTAGTTAAAGAAGATCTACTGCCACTAACCTCCCAGGTCATAGATCTGTGTGAAAGAAGAAAGGTCAAATGCAGCAAGAACATCTCTGCCACATATACTCCATACTGAGTTCTGGCCAGCCATGAATTTTAACATTTCTTCTTCTGATCTAGTAATACAAAAAGACATAGCACATAGAGAAGGTTACTTAATACATTCTTGATGATTTTTATCATATAACTTATTAAGAGTTTTAACATAAATACTAATCTCTGCTTTTATTGACATGAAATATGTTCTCTTTGCACATAAACCTTCATTGAATTGTACTGTATCAGGAGTGTACAGCTATGAATTCATGCATTTAAATAGGGAATCAAGACTAGTGAAATCTACCATTTAACATGTATTTTGCTTCTAATTCTCAGGCTTCCAAGGGATTTTTTTTTCCCTTCAACTACCATTGCCTCTGTCAGAGATTTGGGATATGTTTTTCAGATTAGGAAATTATATACTTCTATTCGAAATGTCGGACAGTGTCTTGGTAATTGATACTGTTGAGAAAGGAAAACATTGCATGACAGTTCTGATGAGAGGGATTCTCCTGTCAATATATTTAATTATCCTGAGCCATAATTAAAAACATTCTTTTTATCTACAATAAGAAAAATAAAATTTCTATAAAAATACTAATAGTTACCTGTACATTGCTCCAAAAGGATCTTGAGATGAAATGCCAAAAGTTCTTTCATATTGGTTTCTTCCTTCTCTAAAATAGCAGTCAAAAATGCATATGAGCGTGGATGTCTTTTGTTTTACCCCAAATACACCCCAGGGCTGTAGTTTCAGCTAGAGCATCACTGTGGAAGGTGTTCAGCTTTGTGCAGAATATATGTCAGTCTGTTTGCACTGACTCTAGAGGCACCCTCACTTACCATCCCAAAACATGCTGATATATTTCTCAACCTTTCACAAGAATGATTGGTTCTTTTCGAGGTCACATTGGGGTGACACTTTGAACAACCTGATCTAGTGAGTGGTATCCCTGTCCATGGTAGGAAAGTTGGAAGGAGATGTTCTTTAGAGTCCTTTCCAACATAAAACATGCTAGGAATCTGTAATTTATAGGAACACAACTCAGGTAAAGGTACAAGACTGGTGCAATCATCACCATCATACACACCATTTTTGGTCATCAGTTGCATGGACTGGAACAAGTAAAACTTCAGACACATATTAAACCACTCCTATAAACCTTTGCAACAGAAGCATCCTTAGCCATCATTACTCATCATTTACTTTGGTGATACATCCTCGGGTAAGAACCACTGTAATGATAAAGTGTTTTCCTGAAGGTGAAATAGACAGAAATCTGATTTCTAGATCATCTCTATAATCAGAGGGAAAAGGAAAACAAGAACACACACAAACGGAAAACAAGGGGGTTGGGGGGGGGAGGTGGGGGGGGGGGGGGGGAAGAACACATATCAGCCATGTTAACAGCTGAAATTACCTGCTGGTTTTAACTTCTGAGAACAAGCCAGCATCTTCATTGAGCCCTTTCCCAGAAACACACCACTCAGAGCAGCCACGCAGATGCTGCAAGGCAGGCTGCAACATACAGCACACAACACTCCTCCTTACCTCACAGCTTCAGTCAGGTGCTGCCAGCACAAGTAGACTGTATTGGAATAATACATCATCATATGATACTGAGACTTTGGGCTTGATTTTGTAAGGTAGATGTTGGAAATTTCTGTGTTTCTGTAGAGGGCTAAAGGGTGAAATGAATATATTTACTAACATGTGTGATATATCACCTTGCCAAGTCTATTGTACAGCATGGTATTTATTGCCAGAAGACACAACCACATTACTTCTACAATCAAATCCTTCAACTGCAATGAGCAGTGGGTGAGGTCTGCTGAAATTTGTGTTGCCCCATTTAGCCTGAGTAAACAGTATCTCCCTATACTCAACTGCAGAACCAAACATTTCTTTCCAGAAGTGCAAAAAGAATGCCTTACAAGCGCCGTTATCTACCTACAGGCTTCTGTGCTCAGAGGAAGATTTCAGTGTGCTCTATCTAAATAAGAACTCTTTGCTTAGAAGTCTTTTTCTGATCATCAAGGTCAGCAATTGGGAGACAAGTCCCCAAAACAGCATGCCAGCTACACCTACCTTCTCTCACTTCACTAGGGCAGGACCTTCTGCAGACGGAAGAATACCTAAAGGACTCACAGAAATCTCCCGTTTCCTCCAACGCATCTGTGATGGCATCACTCACCCGCAGGACTGGGATACCAAAGGAATATAAAAGACAGATCCTGCTCTCCCTAAACTCACTGGGCCACAGCTATAAGCCCTAACCGAGAGCATGGCAACACAAGCTAGAGCAAGGGACACAATTTTTAAGACTTTGGGTAGCCCTGACCAGCAGGCTGGTGGCCAGACATCCCTTCTGTTCAAGCGGAATCAATGATTCTCATGCAAGCACAAACTTATGGTACCTCTCAGTTTTGATCAAAATAGTTCATACAATGGTAAAAACTCAAAGAAACCCAGAACCTGTTTTTAAATCATGCTGTTGCCCATCCACCCTGGGATTTTGTTTTAAAGTTTAAAATCACACCCATACCTCAGAGCTTTCTTGAGACCAGCTCTGTATAGATCCTGAATATTGCCTCCAAGGTCACATGAGGCTCTTGCACAAAGAAGTTTAGGGATATAGAGTCCTTCACCTGGATCTTACCTTACACTTGTGATTATGCTGACATTTGTCACTTCTCTTCCAGCTGAAGTGTGAATCCCAAGTGATTTCCTCCTTCCAGCTACGTTAACTTACCTAATGTTAGGTATCATCTTTGCCTACATATCTTACCTCATTTAAAAACCATCAGAGGTTTAAGTCTTTTAGTTTATTCCCCTTCCTCTGCCTTTATTACCTCCTTCTTGTGTCACCTCTACTGCCAAGAGCTTCAGTCCCACACAGGCCTCCAGCAGTCTTTCCATCCCAGTGGTGCTGGTACCCAAGCATGAAGCAATGGAATCTGAAGACAGAGGTTCTCCTGACTCCAGCAGAAGATCAAACACCCCCAACTCACAGGCAGTGAACATAACCTGGGGGTAAGGAAAGGTGGGACTGAGGGATCAGGTGAAATCAGTAAAGCCTACTGAATTTCTCAAACTGCATTATTGGAGAAAATATACACAAAATAATATTTTTTCCATGTAAAATTTTATTTCATACAAACAAGTCCAGTTATTAAAATGTAGTTGATCTGAGCACCGATATAACATACAAAGCATACAATGCACTTTTTGTTCTTTTTTTTTTTTTCTTTTTGGGTGAAGCCAGTCAATGCTTTTGGCTCACAAAAGCCCACATTTAGAGAGGAGGTTTTGGGTGTAAATATTCCTTCCTCTTCCCTAGTTTTGGAGCACATTTTCACAGTATCTCTTGCTTTTTGCCTGGAAAGAACAAGGGTAAGACTGGATGGTGGTGGTTGTTCTCTGTTTATGTTTTTGTTCTTTAACTAAGGACCTAATGCATGCTCCACTGAACCGTGGAGTGGGGAATATCCCACTCTATGGACCCTGTTTTCAGGGACTGACGTGAAGGTGGTCTCCCAGAAGTAGGGATCTCCTCTCAGCCAGAAGAACTGCTTCATTTAGGCCAGGAAAATCACCCTGTCTTTCCATAGAGAAAGTGTGAAACTTCTCCAGCAACAACCTGCAACTTTCAGACAGACATAGCTACTATACATAAGAAAAGCACCCTTCTTTAGCTGTACACAGTCAACTTTACAAGTATTACTCTGGTCACACAAACACTCCTGAGACAGCAACAAAGGCATTAACTCAGTTGACTGCCTGTCTATACGATTTGATCTCCAATGATACCTTATGCAAAGAAGCTCATTTTTTTCTGAGTAAAGCATGGCTTAATCAAAGATGAGATCGTTTCTCAAAAACATCGTACCATGTTAATTTGGAAAGCATTGGGTGCTCCTCTTTCTCAGAAAGTAAAGTAATTTTTCATTATCTGTTCATCTTTTAGGAGCATTAAGATGCAATGGTATTTGCACAACCCAAGGAGCATTCCTTCTCTTGCCGTGTTGGCCATAGGTGCAGAAAGGAACAATAAGAAAAGTAACTAAATAGTGCATTAAGGAAAAAATTTGTCCATTTCACTATATATTATAATTTTATGCCCATGTGCTTACACACAGAGAAAGGCAAATAACGTAAACAATATGGAGAATGGAATTACTAGTTCTACCTTTGTGCCGTACTAGCTGCTGGTTGGAAAAACAGTCATTATACCAGACACTTTCTTTCACTTTTTCCAAAGATTTACATTCAGGATCTAAAGTGAAATCCTTGAATATTTCTGTCAGCATTCTCTTTCTAAGACTGAGTTATATTTCTTACCTTTGAGACTAAAAATCCACTGCTGTATTGCACAATGATTTGAGGATAGTCAAGGTCTTCTGTGGAACCCATCTTCTTTCTGGACTGAGACACAGATTCTCTGGCCCTCCTAATTTAAATAAGCTTCTTTCCACAAAGCACAAAGCATGCCAGCTGATCCACTTAATCTTATTGCTTGTGAAAAACACACTGGTTACAAAACACGTTAGTTGAGTTATTTGGCTTTGATGGGTCTTTCTACCCAGTTCAGCTGTTTCTTTGGATCTTCCATCATCAAGTATAAGTCTAAAGAAGCCGTGTGGCTTAAAGCTTGTATCATCGGTTCATCAGTGAGTTAAGACGCTGGTACTTCAGAAGCACTCGAAAGCTTGTAACAAGCAAAGCAGGAATCAGCACAGAAGAGCATCAAGAACCGGAACTCAGCGCGATGCACCAGAGTCCATAAACGAAAGCAGAGTCTTACTCACGACTTGAAACTTGCTGTGAAAGGCACAGGTGCAGGGGACCCTGGGGCGTGCAGTAGGGTAGACCCCACCCCTAAGTGCAAAAGCAGCCAGTCCAAAGAGAAGCTGGAAGAATCTGTTTGCTGCTTTGTTGCTGTGACTAGTTTGCTCTGACAGTGATCACTCAGGTGAGGCCTATGAGGAATTAAGTCTACTCTTGTTACTTTTCTGTATTTTCCAGGTCCCTCCCCCCATAACAGCTTAGAAATCAATACCTGTTTGATAGCAACACCACAGCAGGGGTGACCTACTGTGCTTTGCTGTGTTTTGGCAGAGCAGGGTGCTGAGGGATGACAAAATGTTCTACATTTTCCAGCTGGCTGCTGCAGTCTTCCTCACCTTCTCTGCAAAACTAACCATGGGCATGCAGAAGGCCCTTGGGAAGAAACAATGAAATGACTGCCAAGTGCAAGATGTGGTGTAGACTTCAACTTCATGCAGGACATACCTCATAGGTATTTCAGCAGAAAATTAAACCCCTGGATTATTTTTCTGAGATCTTTCTCTCCTGCTGTCCATCTCTCCAGCTTGTAAATGCCTGAAGTCTTGCCCATCTTGACTTTTTGGGTAGATGTTGCAACTATCAGGTGAGAAAGGAGCCTTTCCACCAAGGAAAAGACTTACAGTTTTTACATCATATATTTAGAGATCCTTCAGACAACAAAGCTAAATGAGACTTGACTTAGGTAATACAGTGATGGCAAAATGTTACACCCGCATTTTTTCAGTGCTAGCTTTCTCCATGTTTCAGTGATTAACGGGCTAAACTTCAGCAATACAGAGATCAAGATGTAGCTCATCATTTTTTGTGCATCAGCTTAGTGTACAGTTAAAGAGTGCACTTCATGACTTCATCCCAACACAACTTTTTCATATTATCTTCCTTTTCTAGGAAATAGGCTTGTGTTTATATAATGAAGCTGAAGGTTAGTCCTGTGCTTCTCTTTTGAACCTGCCTCATTCTAGAAGAAACAGGCCAGTATAAAGTTGTCACACATTCTTTCTGACCATTTTGTGACTGCAGTGAAACGTTTTCAACTGAAAGCTTCCACCGTATATTCCTTCTGTGAATCTGAATTTTCCATTCAGATCCTTGCATTTTAGCCAAAAGAGGTTCTATTTCTTTTAGCCAATGGTGAAGTAGCAACTTACTTGAAGAGTTAGTTGTTAAAGTTAGCCAGGAAGATGTCAGCCTTTTTCCCCTCTGTACACAAACTCAGAAACAGTACCCGTTCCTGCAGCTTTAACATCTCAGGGTCTCCTGTGTTACCAGAGTAGGAGGTCCAAACATTCAAGAGTTACAGCAAACACCAATCTGTAGAAACATGTAGAGCTCCTCATCCTGGTCAACACAGCCTATAAATATAGGGCTATTTTCTTGCTAGTGCACCAGACTTCACTGTTCAGTACAGCTTAGACACTAATATTCTGTGTATTTTGTACTGTGGAGATCACAACACACCTCTCTGCCAGAGTGACTGTGAATCTGTGCAGCTTGCATTCAACAAGACACCAACGGTTTCAAGAACACAGGTACATTCATAATGAACACTTTCCCCTGCTATCCCTACCTCAAGGAGAGCACATGAGCTCAGTTATTATTTAGGAACTGCCATCTGCATATGCAAAAAGCTAATCTGAAGAGTTCATTCACTTGGACAAATCTAGACCCTCTCTTGGTGACGAAGCTACAGATTTTTTAGTGCCTCAGATTCATTCCAAAGACAGTTCTGCAGGAAAAGAAACTTTAAAAATTTCTCACTAAGTCTCCACCTGTATGAGTAACCAAGTCAACTTATTTCCCTCAACAGCTTTCCCTCTCCTCCAATGAAAATAGAGAAATAAATAGTGTGATTATTCACACATCACTAGCCAAAGATAAACATTGTTAGCCAAAAAGATTAGAAAGTTGTAGGAAAATAAAAAAAAAAAATTCTCTGCTAAAGTCATATTCTGCCTGATACTGAGAAACAAAATGCAATGCTTGCAATTCCATGCAAGCCGAGAAATTTCCCACTCCTGCGATCATAACAACTATCCAACCCCAGACTATCAACCATACTGGAAGCAAAACTTCCCCACACATTTCTCTTCTGCTGAGCTAAACAAAACAAGTCTAAGAAGAGCTAGATGCTGTTCACTAGCTTACAGATCACTTTCCTCAAATGACTCAGCCACAGAGGGTAATCACATATTTCCGTGACATTTAGTACTGTTGCATTACAGATTCATAAGTACAAAAGTGCTCAACCCTTGATTCTTGTAGTTTTGACTAAATAACCGACTCTTATGTGCACTGTTGCAGACTAGCACACCTTAACTGGCCATAAACACATCCACTTAAGGCAAAGTTGTAGGGTACAAGGGTCTCCAGTAAAAAAATGACCACCCAATTAACTAAACTCACTTCAAGTTCTTTCTCAGTTATGGCTAAGTCTCTCTGTTGAGAACACCAGTCATACTCATCTAATGGGATTACTACTGGTAGTGAGATGTAGGGGTGGAGGGTTGCAAATAACCCACACCAGACTGATGCAAAGCCACATGCAGTGTGTTCTGTTTCCAAGTAAATTATTCGCGAGGCTTACATTTTAAGCTCCTTTTAAGCTACAACTGCATTCATGAAGATGGAATTGTAATGGCTTGCTTTCTCTGAAAACTCCATGTGCAGGTTAAAGCCATTACTTTACCTCTACAGTTCTATTTTGGTGATACATTTTCCTTTGCCTAACTAACTCACTACAGATAAATGCTACACAAAAAAAAAAAAAAAAAACAAACAAAAACAAAACCAAAAACAAAAACATATCATTTTGGCATAACATTTGAAAGTAAGAAATTATCTCTGAAAAAAGGACAACTGTGCCTCACTATCATTATTAAGCTTCTAAGTATGCCCAGATTATAAGAGATGGCTTGGAAATACATTAAGATGATACCGTTTGTGGCCTTTTTTGAAACAATTCTAAAAAGTCAAGATGCTTAGTATCATACTTTTTATTTGAAATGCAAAGTCTAGTTTTAACGAAATGCTCATTTTCTTCTTTGCAACTTCTAATTCTTCTCACATTTTACAATAGATGTATTTTCCTAGTAATATAATTCTCTCTTCTATCATTTTTTGACACCAACTAATTTCATTCTTTTCCTGGAATATACATCACTTATACTACTTGCAAATACTTGGAGTGGGCAGGAAATCCTGTATTTTAGCTCATTTTTTAAGCAAACACTCTCTTCTATTCAGTTTCAGTAAAAACTCTGGCTGAGAATGTCTTTTAAAGTCCATCTTAAGCAATCCAGAGTTTAACTTGTGGCCTGCAAATAATCTGTCAACAAATAATTCAACCAAATAGTCATTGAGATCTCTGCCAGAGGAAGGTGGCAGTATAGAAGAGGCATAGACTCCCTGGGGATAACCAAGTTCACTAGCAAAAAATGGTAGATGCTTTAAAGAGAGAGAGAGATGCAAAAAGAAAACTAATATGGATAGCAGCTAAGGTAGGCTCTGATTTCAGAAATTACTTGTGCTTTGTCAAGCATCATGAAGGAAAACTCTGGACAAGTGATTGCCTTGCAGAGGCCATTTTAGAGGCTCAGCTTTCCTCGAGATGAGCCAAACACCTGCATGCTCATGGGAAATGGTGAATGAATTCCTTATTTTGCCTTGTTTGTGTGCGTAGCTTTTGCTTTACTTTAAACTGTTTTTATCTCAATCCATGAGTTTTCTCACTTTTACCCTTCCAATTCTGTCCCCCACCCCACCAGGGGGGAATGAGTGAGCAGCTGTGTGGAGCTGAGTTACCGGCTGAGGTTAAACCATGGCAGCAAGCCATGTGCAATTGCAGGGAAAATCTAGTCTGAAGGTGATTAATTCTTTTTCAGACACTTTGTTGGCAGTGTTTGGGAGTGACATATTACTTCATATTTCCTACAAATAGTCCAATTTCATGGACAGCACCCCTGTATGTCCCATTCAGAGCAGGAAGAGCTCACTTTACAGGTGCCATAGTGCACATGCAGCCAGATTAGGTATCAATTAGAGAGCAATTCCAATCAGCCTTAGCCCTTCAAAAGTTTTATAACATATTACTATGGCAAAGCATTAGCTTGAGCTAATCTGTGATTTTTTTTTTTTTTTTTTTTTTTTGTGGGGCAGCAGATGTACTCGGAGGTGCAGAGGGAATCAGATCGAATTATATTTCTGTGCCATCTAATGGTATTAAAGAAGAAAGGACGGTGGTGCGTACCACTTCTAACAAGCCTCAAGAACCCCGTATTAGATTAAGTAAAAAAAAAAAAAAAATTAAAAATGGAGGCTCACTTCTTTTTAACAACAATACTTGTACATGTAGGAACATAGGTTACTCCATAGATCTCTTCTGTGCACCCAGTTCTGAAGAATCAACTGCAACTAAACTGCTGCTTTATAGAAACACTAGAGACAACTCTGCAAATTTATTGTGAAGCAGAAAAAACACATTCTGCAAATCACATGTTCATGAGATTGGGGAAGGGCCAGATCAACAGAATGCAATGTAAGCTTAATGAAATAGGTGTTGCATCCAG